CACTTTTGGAGACCCCCACCTACTTTTGGGGATCCTATTGGGGGACCCCTACCCACTTTTGTGGACCCCACTGGGGACCCCCACCCACTTTTGGGGACCCCTGTTGGTGACACCGTGGGGCATTCCTGGCTTTGGTGACACCGGGCTTCACCCGTGGCGCTGGTGACACCATGATGGCACTGGTGACACTGGTGGCACAGTGAGTCACGGGTGGCAGCGGTGACACTGCTGAGTGACATTGGTGGCACCGCGACTCACACCTGGCGCTGGTGACGCTGGTGGCGCTGGTGGCGCCATGAGTCGCACGTGGCGCCGGTGACATTGGTGGCACTGCGGGTGATGTGTGGATCTGGTGGCACTGCTGGTACTGGTGACACTGCGACTCACGTGGCACCGGTGGCACCGGTGACATGGGTGGCGTTGGTGACACCGTGAGCCCCAAATGACATTGGTGCCTTTGGTGCCATTGGTGCCACTGGTGCCATTGGTGACACCGTGAGCCCCCAGATGGCACTGCTGATGATGTTGGTGGCATTGGTGACATTGGTGACACCACGAGCCCCATATGGCACTGGTGACATGGGTGGCATTGGTGGCACTACGAGCCCCAAATGACATTGATGGCATTGGTGCCATGGGTGCCACTGGTGACACCGTGAGCCCCATGTGGCACTGGTGACATTGGTGGCATTGGTGGCACTGGTGACACCACGAGCCCCAAATGACATTGGTGTCATTTGTGTCATTGGTGCCATTGGTGATGCCACGAGCCCCATGTGGCACTGGTGACATTGGTGGCGTTGGTGACACCGTGAGCCCCAAATGACATTGATGGCATTGGTGCCATTGGTGACACCACGAGCTCCATGTGGTGCTGGTGACATTGATGTCATTGGTCCCTTGGTGACGCCATGAGCCCCAAATGACATTGGTGCCATTGATGCTATTGGTGCCGTTGGTGACACCACGAGCTGCTTGTGGCACTGGTGATATTGGTGGTGTTGGTAGCACTGGTGACACCATGATCCCCAAATGACATTGGTGCCATTGGTGCCATTGGTAACGCCACGAGCCCTATTTGCCACTGGTGACATTGGTGGCGTTGGTGACACCGTGAGCCCCAAATGACATTGATGGCATTGGTGCCATTGGTGCCACCGTGAGCCCCATGTGGTGCCATTGGTGCCATGGGTGCCATTGGTGCCTTGGTGACACTATGAGCCCCATTTGGCACTGGTGACATTGATGGCATTGGTGACACCACGAGCCCCATGTGGCACTGGTGACATTGGTGGCGTTGGTGACACTGTGAGCCCCAAATGCCATTGGTGCCATTGATGCCATTGGTGCCATTGGTGACACCACGAGCCCCAAGTGGCACTGGTGCCATTGGTGCCATTGGTGACACCGTGAGCCCCAAATGCCATGGATGCCATTGGTGCCATTGGTGCCATTGGTGCCATTGGTGCCATTGGTGACACCACGAGCCGTGTGGCACCGTTGGCCCCGTCGCCCACCGGGTGCCACGTGTGGCGCTGTGCCCCCAGGCCCCCTGCGGTGCCGCGGCGTTCCCTTCGCGGTGACGGCGGCGCTGGCGGCCCAGGAGCTCCATTCGCCCACTTCTGCCGACGGCACCAAATGCATTTTGGTGGCCAAAGTTCTGACCGGGAGCCCCGCGTTGGACCGCAGCCGGCGCCCGGCCCTCCACATCTTCAGTGCCGAGGACGCCTATCCGCTCTACCTGCTCACCTGCCGGCGCCTCGGCGCGGCCTGATGCCGGCTGTGCCGTGTGCCGTGGGCACGGCTGTGCCACCAGCTGTGAGCCGTGGGCTTACCGCGTGTGCCGTGCTGTGCCACGAGCCGTGTGCCATGGCCTTACCATGAATACAGTGCTGTGCCACCAGCTGTGTGCCATGGGCTTACTTTGTGTGCCGTTCTGTGCCATGAGCCATGAGCTGTGTGCCATGAGCTTACCATGTGTGCCATGCTGTGCCATGAGTCGTGTGCCATGGGCTTACCATGAATACAGTGCTGTGCCATGAGCTGTGTGCCATGGGCTTATCGTGTGTGCCGTGCTGTGCCATGAGCCGTGTGCCATGCTGTGCCATGGACTTACCGTGTGTGCCATGCTGTGCCATGAACTGTGAGCTGTGTGCCATGGACTTACCATGTGTGCCATGCTGTGCCATGCGTGGGGACAACATGTATGGGGTGTGACACGTGTGGGGACACAACACGTGTGTGGGGTGTGACATGTATGGGGACATAACACGTATGGGGTGTGACACGTGTGGGGACACAACACGTGTGTGGGGTGTGACATGTGTGGGGACACAGCACAGGTGTGGGGTGTGACACGTGGGAACACAACACGTGTGAGGGGGGACACGTGGGGATGCAACATGTATGAGGTATGACACGTGTGAGGATATAACACAACACGGGTGTGGGGTGAGATACGTGTGGGGACACAACGTGTGGGGTGT